ATGTTCAGACTAGCCACTAGAGAGAGCTGTTTTTGCCTCTTTAACCACTTCCCCTCTCATAACTGTTGACCATCTATGGACCAGAGCAATTTGTGCAATTCTGCTATGGAGCTGTTTATCTGGCGATAGCATTGTCATTACCAGGGGCGGAATGACAACTCATGGGGCCCCCGGGCAATAGGGGATCATGGGGCCCCTGTGTCCTTGCCCAAACTCAAAAAAGCCTATGAAAAAAGTACCAGGGGCATCTCATGGGACCCCCTACTGACCCCGGGCAGTGCCCAAGTTTCCAAATGGTCAGTCTGCCCCTGGTCATTACTTAACAGCTTCCATACAGGGCACTTTTACCCCCTTCCTGCCCAGGCCATTTTTCAGGTTTCAGCACTCTCACACTTTGAATGACAATTGTGCGGTCATACAGCACTGTACCCAAACTAAAATTTTATCATTTTCTTCACACAACTAGAGCTTTCTTTTGGTGGTATTTAATCACCACTGGGGTTTTTATTTTTTGCTAAATTAACAAAAAAAGACCGACAATTTTGAAAAAACCCAAAATTAGGATGTATTATTTAGTTTGTAGGAAAGTTATAGAGTTCACAAACTATGGGATATATCTGAATATTGATCAATCCTGAAGTACTGACGGCCAATCTAATTTCTTGAGGTCCAAGAATGTCAGAACAGCACCGATATCCCCCAAATGACCCCTTTTTGCTAAGTAGACAGTCCGACGTATTTCATAAGAGGCATGGCGAGTTTTTTTGAAGTTGTACGTTTTTTGTCATAATTTTTCGGAAAATGAAAAAATTTAAAAAATTATTTTCACTAATTTTTTTTTACATACTGTCACCAGTGCAGTACAGCGTCATCATATAACTGGCATGGCGGTGATCAGAAACACGGACTGGTGACTGCGAAAAAAACTTATAATTATTTTAATTTTTTTACATTTTTTTATTAGTTTTTAATTTTTTGTTACATTTTTTTCTCTTTTTTTAAGATTTTTTTTATATTTCACTATGACCAAAGTAGTATAATGTTACCATAGTAACATTGTACTACTTTGGGGAAGTGATCAGTATTTTTTTTTTTTTTTTTTTACACAATTTGCTTATAGCAAAGAAGTACTTTGTTATAAGCAAGCATTTACCTGAATTACATCGATTCATTCAGGGTTTTTTTTTTGTGCTTAGCTGTGATTTGGCCACAGCTAATCACATGACACAGCTGGGCTTGTGCATGTGATCGCTGTGACCATTCACAGCTAGACACACTTGTATACAATGGATGGCATGAAAAGAAGCCATCCATTGTATACAACTGTCATGTGACCTGCTGTGATTGTGTCACAGCAGGTCACATGGTACTGGAAACGGGGCCAGTACACAAATCTGTCATCGTCCGTGTCCGAGGTACACGGCCAGTGACAGATCGCGCTGCGGAATGGCCCTGCGGGTAGGCAAACTGTGCATGCCTGAAAGGACGCCACATGGCTTCCACCCGGAGGGACAAGCTGCTCGCCTGGCTGGCTTTGTGCTATTGGCCGGGCGGGAACTGGTTAAGATATCAAGCTAACATATAATGTATATTGTTTTTTCAAACATTGCTTTCTTTTTGTGATATTGTCTTACAAAAATTACTTTTTGCAACTCTTAGACAATAAAACATACATAAACTAAGCAAAATGCATTTTTTTTTCTTTTTTTTTGACCAGTGTTGGTTTAAAAATAAATAGTATTACTGTAGATAAAAAGTATACTTTTTATTTTGTAATTTGTCCTGTTTAGAATGACACTAAAATTATAATTCTGGTACAACACATTGCAATATATTTACAAACGAAATACAGTGTTTTCTTTTTTTTTTTTTTTTTTTTTTGCCTTTTTAAAAAATAAATATACAGTAAAAGTGTAAATATATGTTAAATATGTAAAAATATTAGAGAACAAAACAGAGACAAAAATGTTTAAATATCAATAAAATAGAAAAGAACAAAAAAGAAAAAAAATAAGCAGGAAAATAATAGTTGAATGGAGAAGGAAAATAAGGAGTTAATTCGGACTGATCTGAGTAAACTAAGGCTGATAAGGGATTAAGCATTATTTATTAAACATTTTACTTTTCAGGTTGCTTTAACTGACTTCAAATGCAGATCGAAGTTCACTCCTTGCTGATGAATGAAACAGAACAGACACAAAAATAACAATGTTACTTTGTATCTTTCTACTTCCCTTGTGAACAGTGTTGTTGATAAATATTAAGTCAAACTTTTGTTTGTTTGTTTTTTTACAGCAGCTGCTGCTAGAGCTGCTCTGAGCACACAGTAACTACGGCTTTGATTAATCAGAGCCAAGAATTGCTTAGGAGTGGAAGTGGAGGTCCCACCAGCAGGGCAGAAGGACTGGGCATGCTACACCTGTCCTATGTATCGTGATGATTTTTTGAGGACGTGTAGCATGTCTAGTGTCTTGAACTAGGTAAACCTTCCCACACAGCTGGTAAGCAACAATATCAGACACAGAGAATGCACAGAGAAATATTTTTAAAGATTAAAAAAGCATATACTTCCACTGTGAAAACAAATAGTGAAGCACAACCAATATGTACCATTGCAAAGCAGAAATCAAAGCCTGAGTGTGTAATAAGCAAAAATGCATGCTCCAATGTACACATTACATGTATTAAACAAGTTTTTTAATGCTACTACACATTGATACTTTTTTTTAAATCAAGCTTTTTTTTAGAAATCACTGAAAAGACTATACATACCCTTCTTTTAAAGGCCTTGTTACAACAAATCTACAGGATGAAATTGCTTGTTCTTCACAGCAAGGTTTTGGATTAACATGAACTCCACATTTTCAAGCTCTGAGAGGAGAATGTAATAAAGCCTTTTTAAGGATTGCAGTCTGGTACAGGTTTTCCTTTTCTTGATGGATTGCTAAAAAAATACTGCAGGTTTTAAGTTTGGTTCAATCCCAATAGCATGCAGTGAAAGGTGACCTTTGAAAGATGTAGTTTACTTTGTGAAACATTCAGAACTCTTAAGGCAGCGTTAATCCATTTTGTATTTGTGTATGTGAATGCACAGGTTAGACCGAAGCTTTATATTTCACTGCCATTTGGCATGATGTAGGCATTTATTTCTTTAGTAACATAAAGATAGCACACTTTTGTGACAGCTCAGATTCTTTTGCCTGGGATGCCTGTGTTGAAAGTAAAACTCCAGTTCAAAATGCACCACTGTAAAGTTTTGATTGCTGTCTTATGTGCACAAGATTTGCCTTTCGGCTAGTGGCTTAATGGTTAGCACCTCTGCCTGGGAGCACTAGAGCTGTTGCTTTAAATCCCATATATGACACTACCTGACTGAAGTTTGCATATTCTGTGCTGGGTTTCCTCCAGGTACACTGGTTTCCTCCCACACTCTAAAGACCTGCTGGTAGGTTTATTGGCTCCTGTCTAAATTGGCACCTAGTATGAATATGAGGGACCCTAGATTGTAAGCTCCTTGAGGGCAGGGACTGATGTCAATGTGCAACATATATATGTAAAGTTCTGTATGAATTATTGGTGCTATAAGAGTACCCCACATTATCCTTCCTCTCTCTCAGGGAGAGAGAAGTGTCTTTCCAAAGAGAATGCAGGAAGACATAAAAACCTTATAATAGTAGAGTGGGTTAGAGCTGTTGTCATGTTTTTGTTCTTATCTGTTTCTTTATTGAGATTTTACTGAGCCACCAATAGAGGAACATATGGGAAATGTCTAAATGAGACTCAGAGAACAATTACAACTAAACAAAGCATGTAAAATGTCCACACTCTACTTAAAACTAAGAAAAATGTTTTGCCTGGAGTTGTACTTGTATGTATATTGTGACAATAAAGGGTAACACTTTAAATGTACCTTTTATTCCCCCATTCAACTGCTTCTGTTGATGGTTGCACAGTGTAATATTCCATGCTGTGAGTGTGGAATGCACGGTGACATATTCTTCAACCATGGGTCAGATAAGTTCTTTATAGCAGTGGTAAGAATACAGAAAGCTTTCTGATGGACAGCAGGTGAGCATTTATTGGTATCAGGGTACTGACTTCTCTCCAAAGCTTTATGGATTTGTGCAAAGCTTTGAAAGCATTCATAAACCCAGTCACTAACATCTCATATAACCTTTAACATGTAAATAGCATTTCAAATTTTTTTTTTGTATTGTTATTCTTTTGAAATATGCAGTATCCATTAAAATAATACCTGTTGATCCTGCCATGAAGGTTCTTGTTCAAGCACTTTATATATGGTAACAATGCTCTGTCCCTGTGCCCCAGTTCTGCTCCTGTGATGCCCACTGTCACATAGGTTTCTAATGAAGATGTCAAGTGGCTGTTCTAGACACCTAGGGTTGATTTTCTAAAGCTGGAGCACTGAAAATCTGGTGCAGCTGTGCATGGTCACCAATCAGCTTCTAACTTCAGCTTGTTCAATTAAGCTTTGACAATAAAACCTGGAAGCTGATTGGTTTCTGTGCAGAGCTGCACCAGATTTTGTACTCTCCAGTAAATCTTCCCTGTAGGCATAGTTCACTGTTGTGCACTGCTAAGGTTTTATTGCTAGAGCTTAATTAACCACTTGCCTACAGGGCACCTATAACCCCGTCCTGCCCAAGCCACTTTTCAGCTTTCAGAACTGCCACACTTTGAATGGCAATTGCGCGGTCATGCAACACTGTACCCATATGACATTTTTATAATTTTTTTGAGACAGATAGAGCTTTCTTTTGGTATTTAATCACCTCTGGGGCTTTTAATTTTTGCTAAACAAACCAAAAACAACTGAAAATTAAAAAAATACATTTTTCTTATTTTGTAAATAAGTGATTTTTCTCCTTCACTGATGTGCGCTAATGAGGCTGCAGTGATGGGCATTGATAGGCTGCACTGACTGGCACTGATGGGCACTGATGAGGAGGCACTGGTAGGTGGCAATGATGGGCATTGACAGGCATCACTGATGGGCACTGAAAGACAGTACTCATATATGGCACTGATAGGCGGCACTGATAGGCAGCCTTGACTGGCACTGATAGGTGTCACTGACTGGCACTTTTAGGCGACACTGATAGGCACTGATAGGTGGCACTGACTGGCACTGATTGGCAGCTCTGATTGGTGGCACTGACTGGCATTGATAGGTGGCACTGACTGGCACTGATAGGTGACACTGAAAGGCAGCTCAGATAGGCACTGATATGTGGCATTGATGTGCACTGGTAGGCACTGATATGTGGCATTGATGTGGCACTGGCAGGTGGCATTGATGAGCACTGACAGCTGGCATTGATGGGCACTGACAGGTGGCACTGCTGGGGCTACACTGATCATCAATGAACTGATGATCAGTGTACATGTCCCCTCTGAGGAATGCTGATTATCGGCTCTCCCCTCCTCAGCGTGACAGCTCATGAGGAGAGAAATGCCGATAACCGGCATTTCCCTATTTACATGCGTTCAGCTGTGATTGGACACAGCTGATCACATGACCGAGCCGATGTCTTCGGCTCTTTCCATTGATCGGTGATCCACTGTGACCGAGGGACACAGCGCACCACCGATCACCACGCTGGGCGCCTCCGGAGCCGCACGTGCGAGGTTAGAGTGGGAGGACGTCATATAATGTCCTCCCAGAACTAGAGAACCGCCTTGAGCCTGTCATCTCCTTATATGGTGGGCGGGAGGCAGTTTAAACAAGCTGAAATTAGAAGCTGATTGGCTACCATGCACAGGTGCACCAGATTCTGTGTGCACCAGTTTTAGTAAATGCCCCCCCCCCCACAATGCTTTAGCAAACGTAAAGGTCATTTGGCTGAAGATTACATGTACTTTAGTATATGGAAAATTTTCATTAGCTGCTAAACTGTTATTTTTACCAATCACAAGCATTTCAACTCATAGCTCAATAACGTAAAATATTTGTCTACGTCACCTAACATTTGATATTGTGAAAAAGATATAACTACAAGGCCCAAGTTGTGTATTGACTTTTGTAGATTGTACAAGGACTTTGACAACACGACTCAATTTTCGCTCAGAAATGATGTTACATTCCATAACCATAAAGCAGTCACTCAATTTGTGAACATTCTGTGCGCAAACCATAGACCATGACTTGTTACTTGGTAAATGGACAGAAGGTCACAAATGCTGAGTGCTGGCAGCTTATTGTTTTATGTTCCACTTGAAATATGTGGTGTTCTATTCAGCCTTTCAGTATTAATATAGTTTTCTGCAGTTACTGTATCCATGTTCTAAGAAACTGCAAACATATATGTGTTTTACCAGTATTGATCTAACACATTTTCACAAAAAAATATATATTGTGTACATGATAATTAACATACAATGGCTTAAGTACCATACATGGCTTTAAGTACCATCTCTATACTGATGACACACAAATCTATCTTTCTACTCCTCACCTCACCCCTTCAGTCTCCTCTCGCATTACTAACCTACTAAGCGACATATCGGCATGGATGTCACTCCACTTCCTCAAACTCAATCTTTCCAAAACTGAGCTCATACTATTTCCTCCAGCCTGTGCCCCCTCCCCTGACTTCTCCATCAAGATCAATAACACAATCACCAGTCCCTCCCCTCATGCCAGGGTACTAGGAATAATCCTGGGCTCCCATCTGTCTTTTCAGCCCCAAATGCAATCACTGTCCAAATCTTGTAGACTTCACCTCCGCCACATCTCCAATATACACCAGTTCCTAACCTCGGAAACCACTAAGCAACTTATTCACTCCCTTGTTATCTCTCACCTTGACTATTGTAACTCCCTCCTCATTGGCCTACCAAATCACAGGCTATCCCCTCTTCATTCTATCATGAATGCTGATGCCAGACTCATCCACCTTACTAACCATTCCATATCTGCCATCCCTCTCTGCCAATCCCTCCACTGGCTTCTCATTGCCCAATGAATAAAATTCAGAACATTAACAATAACATATAAAGCCATTTACAACTCTGCCCCAAATTACATCACCAATCTTTTCTCCAAATATCATCTAAACCATACTCTCTGCTCCTCCCAAGACCTCTTGCTCTCTAGCTCCCCTGTCTCCTCCCCCCATGCTTATCTCCAAGATTTCTCCAGGACCTCCTCCATCCTCTAGAACTTTCTACCCCAATTTATCTGTTGCCTACTCTGCCCACTTTTAGGCAATCTCTGAAAACCTGTCTCTTCAGGGAAGCCTATCCTGCTTTCAACTAGTAATGGAATCTTCTATTCCCCCTATCAGTTCATCCACCACAGTTATTACCTTTTGTACCACTAGCCCCTCCTTCTTAGATTGTAAGCTCCAAGCAGCAGGGCCCTCCTGACCCTCTTATATTGAACTATATCGTTGCTGTGTTGTCCAGCTTTATATTGTAAAGCGCTGAGCAAACTGTTGGTGCTATATAAATCCTGTATAATAATAATAACATATGTAAAAAAGGTAACTATAGAGCTTGCGACCCCATGGCAAAATTTTGATGAATTGAAACTGCTTAAAATGATAGTAGCAATAACAATAGCTTTCACAATCTTTTATATTTATATGGGGCAGCACAGTGGCTAGATGGTTAGCACTTCTGCCTCAAAGTACAAGGGTTGTCAGTTCAAATCCCAACCACAGCACCACCTGCCTGGAGCTTTCATGTTCTCCCCGTGCTTGCATGGGTTTTCTCCAGGTACTCCGGTTTCCTCCCAGACTCCAAAGATATGCTGGTAGGTTAATTAGATCCTGTCTAAATTGGCCCTATTATGTGTATGTATGAATGTAATTTAAGGACCTTAGATTGTACACACCTTGAGGGTTATGGTCTGATGTTAATATACGATATATGTGTAAATTAATGGCACTATATAAGTACTTGTAATAAATAATAATATTATGACGTAATAATTAGTACTTCTGCACACAGTTATTCTATAGTCCTAATACACATTTATTTTCAGAACTACATAGTAGTACAGAGATACTCTGGGATTTTTTACAGCTAGAGAAAGACCATTTTAGGCACATACGGTTAATGTCAGTGCTGGTCAGGATGACCAGAAGCTCTAAGGACAATGAATCTATACTTCTTAGATAGCTAAGCAAGCTTTCTTTATTGTACACCCTGCAAATGAGAACTGTGACTAGTGACTGTAATTCTGAAATCTCCATATCTGACATCGGCTCTTTTTGATTGACAATGTCTCAGGGAGTACAGAGTCAGCAGCAACAGTAACTTCTGAAATCAATGATACAGTGATGGATATGTGTTATCTTCCCCTGTACACAGACTTTCTGAGAACCTGAGCACAAAGGTTGTTGTAAGTTATTCCTTGCATCCTCCCTCATGCCACAGCTCTATAGCAATCCCTAGATAGCAGCTGTGAAAACTCTCAGTAAATACCCACTTTACTTTAGCACAAGGCAATAATAAAAAAAAGTTATTACAGTTATGCACTGATTAAAATCGCACAGTTTTGAAAAGGAGAGCTAGCAACAGAAGACTATCAGGCTCTGCTAAAGTGCACATGTACTGTGATAGAGAGCAGGCTAAAGGAAAAAGCAGAGTGTTTAGAGCCGCCTTTTGCAACCAGGATGCCTAGCACCCTGAGGTGCCTTCTGCGTCCTTCAGGGGTGCCTTGGCAAAATGCCATCTAATTGGCCAAAAATGATGTAGAAGCCAGCAGGTGGATCAAGCCTGATTTGTTGTTACACAAAACCACAGATTTTCACAAGTGTGCAGCAGTACACCCTTGGGCACCGTGCAGGTCAGCCACCAATGTCCTAATAACTGCTGACATCATTGGTTGATAAGGATGACATCATTCACAGCATTCTTGTTCGACCCCCCCCCCCCCCCCCTTTGTCAGCACTGGGGTCATGTTAGCTGCATTGGGGATTGAAAAATAGGAAGAAGAAATGCTGTAAGTCAGTACCAGTGTGCAAAAGTGTATTTGCTCTTAAAAAATAAAATACCTCTAATGCTGGGTGTCTTATATGTGTGGAATTTGCTGCAATATGAAAAACTATATATTTTTTTTACATTTTAGAAAGGGGGGGCCTCAAGATTGTGCATAATTTTAAAGGGTGTCTTGACTGGAAAACATTTGAGAAACACTACATGAGAGTTGACCTATCAGTGTATAGTTTCCCCTTCATTTTCCAATTAGTCAGTTTACATACAGTATATGCTTTACATCTGTGTATTTATCTGCTTGCCTAAAGTCTGGCTTTAATCTTTTAGTAGGTCTTTTTTGTCATACTAATAAAAGGTAACTACTACTTGATTCCTTGGGTTACTATGAAGTATTTGTTTTCTTAATGTACTGTATGTAAAATAGTGTGAAAGTTAGTATGTGATTGCCTATTCTGCAATAATAATTAAAATAATTAATGTAATCATAAGTATGGCAATGATTCTTTTACATAATTTCTTCAGTAGGGAAACATACTTCTTTTCAGGGAAATCATGTAGAATTGAAGGACAGTAGATCTGAGAAGCATACTAGGTAATTCCTTGCTTTGCTGTCATTTAAATAGGAAATCCCAAGGAGTTCCCCTTTCTCTAAATTTGGACATGAGAGTGTAGGCTCCAGCAGCATTGGAGAAAAGAGAGGGAATAGAATATATTTAGCAGACAATGCGTGCATGTTTTTGGGTGCCTGCAATGCTGCCTTTTTAAGGTTGAATCTTGGTTTAGGTGGACCAAATTACTCATACATAAACTATAGTAGCACAATATTACACCATAAAATTATAACGCTGTTTATAATATTGTACAAAGATGTGCAATTCACCAAAAGTTAGTGTATCACATTAAAACATCAACATAAAAAGCAGCAAAAAAGCAACATACAACTTTTTTTTATAAAAATGTATTTACTTTACATTAACTAGACTTCTATACTATTATTTAGAGCTAGAAACTGTGTTTATGAAGGAATTGGTAATGAGCAGAGGATATGATACATACACTTGCATAAAAAAAAAAACAAAGCTGGAATGGTGATGAGTGGAGAGTTTGAAGGATCTTGTAGGTGATTCATTGTTTAGTGGGAATCCAATTAAGGGATTTGAGAAGGGTGTTAGTGTGTACTGTTTTAGATGAAAGGGAACTAATTAGAGCTGCAAAATCTCATGAAGGAGAAATATGAGACAACCAGCTAGTAGATTACTGTCAGAGTCCAATCAGCACACGGCATTAGCATGCATGGGAGATGTGTTAGTGCGGTGTTTGAGAAAAGAGCACTTTTAGCGTGATTATAATATGGAGGAACTGAAGGTAACTGTTTCTAACTAGCATGCAAAGAAAA